CCCTCGGCGGGAGCGCCTCCGCGCTTCCCAAGCGGCGCACTAGTGCAGTGCGCCACCGGGCTGGCCCAGCTTATGGCTTCTGTAAGAGGAAATGTGGGAGTCGAGACCTTAGGGGTACAGGTTGGAGCGCGTGGACTTAGGGCCTAAGGACAGTGGTGTGGTAGTTACGAGAGTAGCCTCTGGGAGGACGGTCCAGGTCCAATCCCAGCTCCCCTGTGCTCTCACCTCAAACCTGTCCTTAGCATCTCCAGGCTTCCTTCTCCTCTCTGTAAAATGGGGATAATAATGGTACGTACATTATAGGCTTCCTCTTCTGTAAAATGGGGGCATCTCTCACTTGGTTGATATTGTAATTAAGAGTTAGTATTTGTAAAGTACCTAGAAAGAGCCTGCACAGGGAAGAGCAGGGTCCCAGATGACCCTCCCTTTCCCTGGCTGTGAGAGCCCCCTCCACCCCTAAGCTGGATATAGATGTGACCATCACATGGGGCCAACAGGGACCCAGATCTCCTGTTTTAAATCCTAAGCCTGTGTCCCTGAATGCCTGACTGCCCTCAGTGGAAGACAAGGCTAGCACTGTATGTGTTGTATGTGGTCATGGCAGCAGGTCATAGCAGCAGAATGGGGCCTAAAGAGCCCCAGGCTGGAGCCAGGAGGCCCCTGTCCTCATCTCAGCTGTAGCACTACCCACAGTGTGGGTTTCCCCATCTGTGAAATGGGCACAGGAAGAGGGAGACCGTATGGTCTCTGAGGTTCTTTCCTGCTTTCAGGAAGGCATTCACTGGGGGAAGCCTTCCTGGAGAAGGTGAGCAGGGAGACAGGGATTTAGGGGTAGAGATCAAACGGAGGCAGGTCCCTCACTCTCTGCCACTAGTCAGCACAGCCACAGTGCTGGCTGCCCAGTGAGTGAATGCCCAGATGAGACAGTGTGAAGCAGGGTGAGTGCCCAGCCAGGGTCTGATTGCTTCATGGTGTGGCTGCTGGGTTCTGCACTGAGAGGCATTTACTGAGTATCTTAACATTTACGGAGCATCTACTGTGTGCCAGGCCCTGTCTTTAAGGAGCTCGTGAACAAAGGGAGAAGCAATTATTTGTTCCTCCATTAACTAGTCTTACCTGAGACTCTCCTCTGGGAGTGAGAGCCAAAGGGACAAATCAGAGATGTGTCTGCAACTGGCCGAGGTCACAGGCATTCATCGCAGGCCTGTGTCAAGTGACAATCATCCCTACCTGCGGTACATCCAGAGATCACACTTTCTGTACCAAAAACAGGGCCCCAGAGGCTAATAATGGAAGTACACGTTGGGGACATGGGGAGCAAATGTTCACGTCAGCAGTGACCTGGGAAGTCCGCGTCCTGTCATAGAGTGGCAGTGACTAAGAAGGAACACTCTCTTTCAGCAGAAGTGACTGAGGGAGGCTTCCAGAAGAGGCAGGAGTGCACTGGCAAGAAGAAGGTGAGGGCACTCCTGCAGGGGCTGGTGTGTGCAAAGGCTCTGCAGTGGGAGCGTGAGGTGCAGGGGATGAGGCCTGGAAGGAGGGCAGCCCGAAGCTTGGTGGCAAGAATACATAATCGCCCCAAGGAGCTGCTGATAGGGCCTCTGAAATCGGATCCCATCTTCCTCTTTAGCCACATTTCCTCTTAACTTCTCTTTAACCTTACATCCCAGCAATTCTAAGCTACCTGTAGTTCTCCAAACACGCTATGCTGTTTCACACCTCTCTGTGCAGGTACTGTTCCCTCTGCCTAGACAGCAAACTGCATCCATCAAAACCTGACTCAAATGTCACCTCCTTGGAGCCTT